TCCCAGTTATAGAGACCCTTATTTAAGGATGTGCTCATTTTGTCGGTAAGGGTACAGGTAGAACTGGAGTGTGACCACCAGAGGTTTGAAACATGCCCACTGCCTGACCAACTGCTCTTCCCAGGTGTCTTTGCTGGTCTGGGTACTGAGGGCCGGAACCACGGAGTCCTGTCTGGTGGCAGGACCAGAGCCACTAGGAGTTGGGGCCCCACCACACCTATGTAGTGGTGGGAATCCCACATCGATGGGCGGACAGTATGACTCCTTGAAACGAAGGCAGAGCGAGCAGAGTGATTTTCAGTTCGGACACTTGCAGAGTGAAAAAACAAGAGAAGCAAAGATGCTTGAATTCAAGACCAACCATCCAGATGGGAGCTGAACTGCTCCCGACATTGAAGCCTCCACCAGCCAGCTCTGGGTTCCACCCTGTCTGCCATGGTCGGTCTGCACCAAGGGGGCATCTCATTGCCATGGAAAGGGAGACACTGGGAAAGTTTTCAGAGCCTAGGACCATGGGGGTCTACACGGGATGAAAGTGGGCAGGCATTCCTGGGAAAGGACACAGCGTTCTGCAGGGAAGGAGGCCACTTGGCCTTGCTGGTAAATAACAATCAAACGTGTGAGCTGTTAGTAACCGGCCACCACTGATGGCCTCAGTACCAGGGGCCTCCAGGTGAGAGCTCAAACCCAGGCTGCTTGAGTCACTCACCACAGAGATGGGAGGGCAGCGTTCTGGCTGATGGGTGGGCAGCTGGGGTTGCACTGAGCACTTGGTGCCCAGCTTGCAGGACACTGGGAGGCAGTCCACAGCTGAGCAGCCTGGGGAGGAGCCTAAGGCTCATTGAGTGAGTGGAGGTTGGCCGGGCAGGGAGTGACTGGGGGTGTCTATCCTGAGGAAGCGCTACGCTGGGAGGGGTGGTGAACTGAGTTGTTAAGCACTTTGGCCTTTCTCTGACACCCTGGGAATGTGCTGGGAAGAAGGGAGCCGGACTGACTGATGAATGCACTGAAGATGCAGCCAGGGGTGGTACCTGCTATGGGCTGGCAGGTGGAGCGTTTGGGCAGGGAGAACGGGGAAGGGGCACTGCGGAATCCCAGGCCAGACCAAGTGGGGTTGAAGGGAGACTTCACAGCTCAAAGTACAATGTAGACTATGGACTGACAATCTGTAGTTTCCTAGACCTCCAGGACACCCCAATCTGTACCCAGAAAGTATGGGGGTGCAGACAAGGATGTGCAGCCACAGAGCACCCTTTGTTGTAATACAGGGGTCATGGTTTACTCACACGGGCTTTCGTATATCTTGGCAGTTTATTTATCCTGGTTTCTTTGTTTAGTCCTGGTCTCCTAAAGCTAATCTCTAATGTCTGTCCCAGAGTCTCTGGGCTCCGTGTCCCTTCCAACCTGATAAGCACTGTCAGGAACAAGGTGTGAGCATGGACTTGAAGACTCAGGGGGTACGTGGGATGCAAGGAGCGCTACTGACTGCTACCCGAGAGGCCGGCTCTTCAAATCCAGCAGTTGCTCCGTGGGAAGAGAGAAAGGGCAATCTCCCCCCATAGAGTCCTGGTTTGGCACTGGGGGTTAATGCGCTGGACTGCAAAGTCGGTTTGAACCTTTAGGTTGGTGGTTCAAACTTACCAGCTCTTCCTCCAAAACCCTGTACAGGGTCACTTTGGGTTGGAACCCACTCGATGGCACTTATCAACAACAACAAATCTGCTCCCATAGAGATTGTTATTTAAATGCCGTTGAGTTGGTGACTCATAATGACCCTGTAGAGGGTTTCAGAGGAGCAGCTGATGGATTTGAACCACTGACCTTAGGGTTAGCAGACCAAAGCTGATCCTACAGTGCCACACCAGGACTCTATGTTGTTGTTTTTAAGTGCCAACTCGTAGAGACCCTGTATATGGTTTCCAGGGAGAAGCAGGTTGGTTTGAACCACCAACCTTGTGGTTGGCAGTTCCATGCTTTTCTTAGAGCACCACACTAGGACTCCATCCATAAAGATTTATAGCGGAGAAAACGCTGTAGCCAGTTAGATTCACCATAGGGGATCACTGAGTCACAATCAGCTCCACAGCCATAGGCTTGCTGTTATGTGCCCTCAAGTCGGTGCCAACTCATAGACTTTCCCAGAGTAACTGGTGAGTTTGAACTGCTGGCCTTGTGATTAGCAGTCCAGTGCTTAGCCTGTATCTCCAAAGGGCTCCGGATGGGACAGGCTTGCAGAAGACTGACTGAGTCCAAACCCAGAGAGAACCCCACCACTGTGAGGAGATCCCCACCCTAGCAACTGTCTAGGACTGCCCAACCACCCCATAGGGCTTCCCAGGCTGTCGGTCTGAACGCAGACAGCGATGTCTTTCTCCTGAGGAGTAGCTGGTGGGATCCAACAGCCATCTTTTGGTTCACAGCCAAGCGCTTAATCACTGTACCACCAGGGTTCTTTGATTTGCATCCAGTTGTGATAAAATATTTACATTTAGCTCACTAGCAACCAACCAGGACCTGCCTGGGACCCATAGACGAGTCATGGCTAGGTGCCCAGGGGTGCCCAGCTCATCCACCTCAGGGCACCTCGGAGCACAGACCCCAGGGCTCCAGATCTGTGCTGGGGGCTGGGTGGTGTGTGTGACTGCTCAGTCTCCATGGCAGTAGGGCGTAAACACTTGGTTTAGAAAGCGAAGCAACCTGGGAAATGCTGGCCGGGTGGAAGACTCTGGCACCCGGAGGGGTTTTCAGTCTTAGCTTCTATGGGTGTATTTGCCCCAATAATCCACGGAAACAACAGTAATCTAAAAATAGTCTTGTTTTCTGTCCTAAGCTCCTTTTAACTTCGTTACTCATCGCCAATTCTTAAAATAAAACCTGGGAGCGCCTCTCCTAGTAGCAGCTATAAACAAACCCCGGGACTCCTCAGAGGAGGAAGAGACCGGGAAAGAGACCCAGGAGGGGCCGCGGGACGCCTGGCCCTGGCCGGACCGCCGTGGCCGGAGGAGGACCCAGCCGGCCGCGAGCTGGACGCACCGCCCCCGGAACTGCGCGCGCCTGGACCATGGCCACCGTGGTCCGGGCAACGGCATTAAACAGATGGAAACAGAAGGGGTTCCGTCACCCGCGGTGGGGGGGGCAGGGAATAAGGGGCGCATTGAGAGCGCGAGGGCAGGAAAGGAGGCGGCTGGTGGGTGGGGCCTGCGCGCACCGAGAAGGGGAGGGGGAGCAGCAGTCCCCCCGAGCTCCGGCCCCCACGCCCAGCGCAGCCCCCTCCCTGTCCGGCCGCGTGGCCTTCGGGTCCCGTGGGTGACTGCGGGGCGGGGGCTCAGCCAGGCCTGACCCCACCTTCGCCAGCGGCCCCTGTCCCCAGCGACCCCAGTGACTCGCTCGGCTCCCGGTTGCCCGACCCGCGTGTACCGGGCACTAGCGGCCACGGGACGCGCTCGCTGGGATTCCGCCCGAGGGCGCCTGGGCACGGACCTCTCCGTTCTGCAGGGGGGGACGGAAACTCTCCGCGAAACCCTGGCACCAGGGACCTGCGACGCCACCTCCTGAGAGAGGAGGGGAGAGGAGGGGCGTGACCTTGGCGCCCCCTGGCGGCAGCCTCCGTCACCGCCAAATGTGCACCCCGAATCCCGGGCATCCTCGCGGGGTCCGCTTAACCACCTCAGCCTAGCCCAGCAGCGATCTGGGGACCCACTTGTGGGAGGGACATTCAGGAAGCGGCACCCGAACTCTGCTGTGCCCCAAAAAGCGGAGGGCAGCCTCGACGGGTCCTCTCCACTGGGTCGGTACCTGCGGAGGGAAACGTGGCCTCCACTCTGCCGCGTGGACGCGCCGGAAGGACACGCAGACAGTGGGGTGCAGGGGCGCCGCTCCCCCCAGCAGCTTAGAGTCACCCAACACCTGCCCCTGGGTCCTCCCGGGACAACCCCCACCCTGTCAATCCGCGGCGCAGACACGTTTTCCCTTGGGGTCTATTTTAAATCGCATCAGGGTGTCGTGCAGTGAATTTACGACTTTTGTACCCCAGACGTCTTCCCCGCCCTAACACGGCGACCCTTCCCTCAACTGGCTGCCAGAAACTGCGGCCCCGTCTGGCTGGCGGGGTAGCGGGGACCCCTCGCACGGGCCGGGGACGGAGCGGGGACAGCTGTGGATGAACCGGGGACCAGCAGCCCGGCTGGCCCCTTGCCCGGCCACGGCGCCCGAGCCCTGGGCTCTGGCGGCCGCGCGCTGCCTGCGGGCGGGCCCGCGCCATCTGGTAACAATTTAGCGGCCGGGAATTTCCTCTCGCGGGCCTGCCAGTGGAGGCTTTTTCCAAATTTCCACCGCGGGGGAAGCCTGCGACGTGCCATAATGACTTCAGCATGGGCGCCCAGCACCCCGGCGCCCCCCCGCCCCATGCTGCCCAGCGGGGCCGCTCTCGGGGCGCGCGGGGACCCCGGCGTCCGGGTGCACGGCCACCCCCGCGTCCGCCCC